ATAGCTTGGTAGAATTAGTCAATCAGCTCACAGAAGTGAAACACAGGTCAGGGCTGCCATCGTACTGAATACCACTTGCCAGACAGATGTTCAAATTTGGGTATATGTTTTGTTCAATCTCTACTGCTGAACAGCTATTATGTATAAAGTGAGGCACTGCAGTAAACACAAATATAAAAAAAAAAAAACAAAGCAGTTCTATACTAGTAAGTTTATAATGCAGTAGGAAGGATGGAACATAGTCTGCCTGAAAACACATTTGAGGCCCCTCAGTAAAGCTCAGTGATACGGAGGTTTACGTCTGGAAAAGATTTAAAGATGCATCCCTATTTTGTTCCTCAAAACAACACACAATGATACAACAGTATTCTATATTCGTGGTGCATCTGAAAGGAGGGTTAAAATACTAGCAGACTGGTAACTTCATAAATGAACATGATGCCAAAAATCTCAAATAAGAAAATAAAAATGATCACCAGCTCTTCGGCACAAAACCAGTTTCCTCAATGCTCCACTGAACACTACAAGTCCCTAAAGCTGAACTCAAAGGCATGCGACAGCTGCTGATTGGTTATAGGAATCCAGAGGGAAGAAAATGCACCTCTCAGGTGCATGACATGCATCTTGTCTGTAGAACATGGTACGAAGGAAATAGTGGCTGTGAGGAGAAAAACAGCGAAGAAAATATATGTGACAGCATTCTGAAAAAGTATGCTGTGCAACTAGACACACACAAGACCCACTACCTGTTTCAGGCAGCTCTGGTGCAGAATCTGTGCCTCCCAAATTAAATTGTTCATGCACAGAGCAAGCCATTCATAAACTATTAATATTTTCCTGTCTTAAAAGCATTTCACCACCAAAACAGAATACAAAGTAACCCAGATGTGGAAAGGCAATATGAAAGACACCTTTTTGGTGATAATTTTAACTATGTAACTATTAGATGACTAGCATCCAAATAGATGCCCCCTCCAAAAAAAAATCCCTAGCCAGTTGAAAGGCATGTGTAAGTCCACATCTTTATATGTGAACATGAAAGCCCTGATCTATCCTCCATAACACTACCACAGATAGTGTTTCTCTGCTAGTCTAAGTGAATAGAAAGGTCTAACTAACTAAAACAATCAGCCTGAGAACTGGACAAATGGAATGGACACCTACTAAAGCATAAATGTCCTCCATTTATCTGCAATTCTAGTCATTTTCCCTCTAAAAGATCTGGGATTTTCAGAACAAGTATGCAGGTTATTTAAAACTGAGTTATATATAGTCATTTAGCAGCAGCAAAAACACTTCTGGCATTATCACAGATGCAAGATCTCTGGTGGAATTTTTCCCCCAAACTAGCATTTTTCTTCACCAAGAACCAATCAGCCTTTATTTCTAAAAACAAGAGCCTCCCCCCCCACCACACACACAAAAAACAAATCACAGACCACTGTTAAATTCTACGCTAATGAAAACTGTGCAGATTACATCCCAGGCGTTGTCACAGCCTATTTTTCATACACCACCACCAGACAGTTTGATGCAGTATTCCTGACTGCTTTTTATCGTATTTGTAAATACACTCACTAATCCACTGAATTAGGTAATTTACAAACAGGTCTTCTCAGTTATTAGTGGCCAGCAGTCAAGTTCTATTACATTTGATCCTCACACAGTTGTCTAAACATTTGCACTCAGGTTGAGGGCTCAGATCGGAAAGAGGAGGTTAGAGAAATTTGGATGGGGGCAGGGTGGAAGCTGGGAGAAATCTCTGCATCTCAGCCCTCGGCGACAACATCCAGCCAGTGCCCACAGAAAAACTAAATTCGGCACCTCTTCCTCCTGTTACACTGGCAACAAAGAGGGAGTTTCCGTAACGCTCCCGTCACCCACCAGGTGCCCAATCTGCTTCCCAGCCGGGTCGCGGGCTCCCGCAGGGCTCGCGCGGAGGCCGCGGTGCCCGGGTCGCGGCACAAAGGGGGCACGGGGTGCGGGCGAGCGCAGGGGCCCCGGGACCCGCGGGGACACCTGGACCCGGCCGCGGGGAGCG